TGAGGGCACTAAGTCTGGAAAAGCTATGTCTCACCTAGGATAACCTTCATGGGTAGTGTTCATGGATATGTGTAGTTGCACAAGTCCCACATTTGAAAGGAATAAGCACCTTGAGTGGCTGTTTTGAAATTCTTTTTTTTATTATTATTACTTTTTGACAGGCAGAGTGGACAGTGAGAGAGAGAGAGACAGAGAGAAAGGTCTTCCTTTGCCGTTGGTTCACCCTCCAATGACCGCCACGGCCGGCGCGCTGCAGCTGGCGCACCGCACTGCAGCCGGCGCACCGCGCTGATCCGATGGCAGGAGCCAGGTACTTATCCTGGTCTCCATGGAGTGCAGGGCCCAAGTACTTGGGCCATCCTCCACTGCACTCCCTGGCCACAGCAGAGAGCTGGCCTGGAAGAGGGGCAACCAGGACAGAATCTGGCTCCCCGACCAGGACTAGAACCTGGTTTGCCAGCGCCACAAGGAGGAGGATTAGCCTAGTGAGCTGCGGCTCTGGCCTGTTTTGAAATTCTTAATAAATTCCTCTGTAAAATTGTAATTGGTGACATTGGTATAATAGATTATGCATTTTGAGCTCTCAGACTTTTCGATATCCCATCACCTCCTGCCTAAACAGAACAAGTTCTCAGCTATTCACTCATTTTGTGGTGCCCAGTTCCCCCAGCCTCTCCTGCTCACCTAAGAACCACTGTAGTGTATACCCAGAGCAGTGAGAGGTTTGTGTTGAGAGGAAGACCAGTATTTCACTACTGGTAAATGACTTTAGGCACTGGAAGCTTCTGGGTCCTACAACAGCAATTCATGCTATAATCTGGCAATGCCATAACAAATTTGATAGGCATATTAGCAAAAACTCTCATCTACTCCTTTATTTGTGGATTGGCTCTGCATTTGTCAGGCTCTGCATTTTCATTTTTTACCAAGCCCCACAAATGACATAACTTTTCCTGATCTTATGTACAATGCCATCACCAGTCCCTCTTCTTGTGGCCTGGGCAAAGCCTGTTCTCTAGACATCTTCCAATAGAGATATTGACCAATATATCTTGAATACTTATTAACTGTCAAGTTCTGTATTGAAGGTTTATTTTATTTTATTTATTTATTTGGTTAAAATCTCATTTCAAGGCTGGTGTTGTGGCACAGCCAGTTTAGGCCATGTGTTTGATGTAGTCATCCCATATTAGGGTGCTGGTTCTTGTTCCAACTTCTCCATTTCCAATACAGTTTCCTGCTAATGTGCCTGAGATGGCAATGGAATATTGCCCAAGTATGTGGGGTACTGCCATCCATATAAGGGACCAGAATGGAGTTCCTGGATCTTGGCTTTGACATGGCAGAGCCCTGGTTTTCATGGTGATTTGGAAGTAAACCAATGGATGGAGATCTCTCTTTCTCAAATAAATATTTTTTTACAAAAAAAATTCATTTCACCCTGACAGCCACCTTGTAATGTAAATCCTCCTGTTATTCTATATATATATATATATATATGTGTGTGTGTGTGTGTAGTAAAATTGAAGAATAGCAATTCTAGAAAATTTCACAGAGATCACAGAGTCATGAGGATTCAAACTCAAGACGTTTTATTAGGGAACCCGTTAATTTTGCCTTATGATAGAAGTGGAGTGGGCCAGTATCAAAACAGCAAAGAATCTCAGGTTATAATGTGAAATAGTACTGAGAACTTTACAGGGCAACCATTATTGTGGCTAATGAAGTTAACTGTGGGCTGTGCATGAATCCTAGGCAAATTCAGGACAGAAAAAAAGAATACTTAATCAGCCTCGGAACTATTATAAAGATCATTCAGCCTTATCAGGGCATCTGGCTCGAGGAGGCAGAGTGAGATTTCAAAACCAAAAATAAATTTTAAAAGGCCATGCAATTTAATCAAACACATTGGTGGTCCTGCCAAAGGTGGAGACCCTGGATCCCTTCTGCCTGCACTTGCCTCTGACCTGGGAGACTAAGGCATCTCCTGTCCCTGGTTTCACTTATGCAGCAGGAGCAGAGGAAGCAATTTGTCCTAACACAGATAGAGGTGACTGCTCATCACAAAGGGATTCAATGAACCTGATGTTTTAGTTTCTGCTCTTCCTACTGATTCTTTGATGGTTCTTGTTTTAGAGTAAGTGAGCAAGCCCTCTGGTAGCCTTTCATCAGGCATGGCTGTCTTAAGTTGTGGCTGGCCACAGTGGCTCTGAACCCACAAACACAGGCTGATTTAGTAGGACGGTGTTCAAGGAGGACAAGTCTGCCCAGCAGGCCCTGGCAGACTGGTACCTCAGAATGTGGAAACAGTATTCACCCGAAACTTCAACCTTTATCCAACAATACCACCTCCCCTCTTACTCATACATTCTTATTCTAGACTCACAGGCTCCATGTGTGGGAAGCTTGGAGAAAATTCTGGAGATGTGATCTTAGCAAAGCCTAATTAGACTAGGTCTGTCATGCAAGAAAGCTGTATCTGTGGACTCTTAGGCTACAACAAAGAATATCAGCTTTGTACAGGCCTATCCACCTCATTCCATTTGCTCAGGACAACTGGGGTTGGGGTCCTATTGTTTTTCTTTTAAATGTTTTTGTTCTTTATTTATTTATATTCAAAAGGCAGAGAGGTAGGGGTATTTTTTATTAGGAAAAGGTCCTTGTTCCATCATTTTCCATTTGCTGGTTCAAGTCCCCAAATGCCAGCAAGAGTAGGGGAAAGCTGAGAATCAAGATCTCCATTCTGGTCTCCCACATGGGTGGCAGGAACCCAAGTACTTGAGCCACAGTCTGATACTACCTAAGATGTGCTTTAATAGGAAGCTGATTCAGAGGTGGAGTAGCAGCAACTCAAAACAGGCACTCCAGTATGAGATATGGGAGTCCCCCGCAGCAGCTTAATGTGTTATGTCGCAATGCCTGCCCTGGGCCTTACCTCTAACTGCATATCTCCTAAACATTCTCTTTTTGGTGAGATATTTTCCCTCCTTTGCCGCTATGCTCAGAGCATCAGAGCTATAGTGATGATTTTAGCAGTTAACAATAAATCTTCCAAGCTTGTGTTTCACAACCAACTTGTTCACATATGAATGTCCTTGGCAATCTATATTGTGACACACACATCAGTTATTTTTATAGAAGCTCCTAAGCACAAAAACAAAAGCCAAATTTGCCATAAAATGCTTGAGTTTAAGGAAAATGTAAAGTCCTGGGTGGGTTCTCCACAGCACGGCCCATGAACATGAAATACTCAGAAATTCAATGTTGGGTGCACAGGTTGCCAAGATTCTCTGGCTCAGAGCAAAATTAAAGTGTGAATTCAGCTCAGAAAAATTTTGTGGTTCACAGATTTGTACGTTACCCTCAGGGAGTCAAGATGTTACTGTTGATATTGCTGTAGCAATGTGTTTATATGAGGTTGTTTTCCTGTTTTTGAAGTTCTTTAAAAGACTATTAGCACAAACTAAAAGTTAGTGGAAGAAGATAGCTCGGCAGAGTGTCCACAAGAGAGGCAGCATGGTGCCCTTGGAAAATGGCAAGGAAATCACAGAACTCAAAGTATAAGGAATCTCTGACAATGGGGCTATCTTAGCTGAGGACGGGGGGTCATTTTAATTTCCTCAGTTTACCTCCTTCATTTATCCAAGAAGCAGCAGTTTTAGACAACAAAGTCAGGTGTCACTTCAGCTGAGAAGATATTCCTACATTGTAAGAATCAATAAAACATAGTAATGAGGTGGGCATTGTAGCGCAGCAGCTTAAGCTTCTGCTTGGGAACCTGAGTTTCATACGGGAGGGCCTGGGATTGAGTCCTGGAGCTGCCTCTGCCTCTGCTTTCCATCCAGCAGATCAATGCACCTCAGGGAGGCAGCTGGTGATGGTCCAAGTACTCAATTCCTGCCACCCATGCAGGAGACCTGGGTGGAGTTGCTGTCTCCTGGCTTTGGCATGCCCAGTCCTGGCTGTTGTAGTCATTTGGGGAGCAAGTTAGCAGATGGAAGATTTCCCTCTATCACTTGTTTTGCCTTTTAAATAAAAACAAACAAGCAAAAAGCCCCAAAACACAGTGCTGGTTTAAAGCACCAGGTATTCGTGGAAAGTCCATAATGTGCAAAAAGGTACAAAGAAAAAGAATCGGGATGCGGTTTGCAGAAAAGGTTTTGGCTGTAGGCAAGGACCCAATGCAATACATAGGAGAGGTGTATTGAAGCTTAGCAATTTTTTAAACAGTTAAATCTACTAGTCAAAATCTTACTAGCAGAGTAAAGCTTTTCCTGAACCCATTGTGCTATTAATGAAGTGCTAGTTCAGGCCTGGTCCCAGTGGGCCTGTCAATTTCCTGGACTCTTGCTAGAGTTGGAAGCAGTTATAGCTTCAGGTAAAAGTGTGAAATCTGAAAGTTGGAACTGAGATTTGAGTTCTGATATTACTCTTTGACTAATAACACCAATGTTCTCTACACTGGAGACCAGAAAACTTATTTGAATATGTGTATATATATATATATACAAATACATATATATATACACATAAAATCAACATACGTTTCACGTCTGCAATGTCTCTTGGGTTCTTTCCATTACTTTTTATTCAAACTATTATCTGTCCCATTACAAAGAATTTATTGCATTATTATTTATGGCATTTTTATATTAAAATATTGGAAAGAAACAACTATATTAAAATTGTGATTTCATTAAAATAATGGAAAATAAAAGGGGAATGAACACATTTGAAATTCAGTTACATTATAATACAAACTCTATAGTTACTAATATTTCCCCCAAAATATCCATTCATCCATCAAATAAAGCAAATTATTCTTTGTCCTCTCAGTTTCCCTGATTATTTGGTGCCTTTGCTCGTGCTATTTACATAATCAGAAATTCTCTGTGTGATGCTCGCTCATTGTATGATGCCTGTTACTCAAAAAGCACGACGAATCTAATATAGTTGTCTCAATGAGACAAAACTCCATATATTGTCCTTTTCTTCTTCAGCTCTTCAGAACACTTTGCATCCCTGTTAGTGTGCTGAAGACATGCGGAGCCCATGAGATACTTTGTTTGTGGATACTGCACCTGAAGCTCTAGTAGCGATGGATACCTTATTTCACTTTCAGAGAAAGGGACAGCAGATAATCCTCAGATGTCATTCACCCTTAAGGACTGCTTCATCTGAAAGGTGCTTTGCCCCACAGCATACCCTATTCTCTGATTCCCGCCTGCATCAGTAACATATTAACATGGGAGTGTGGACACCCAGTCTTCTCACTACAAATGCAGATGGCTTTGAAGTGTCTTCTGCTAACAGCTCCTTGGAGAAGAGCTGCTGGGCCTTTGTTGAAATTGTATCCCAACACAGCCATTCTACCAACCTAATCCAGCTCCCTGCCTTTTTCTTTCACAGGTGTTAAGCAGAAGTATTTTCCAGATAGATCCTGTGTGTTTATATCATAATGTGCTTGTTGAGAATTCCCAACTGTATTGTTATTCATTAACTCTGTAACATTTGGAATTGTTGTAAGGCATTCACTGCTTTATTTACAAAACATGGTTGTAAGTGTGGATGAAGAACAAAAATGAAACAAATTACTGTTGCTGCTTTCAGGGGTCTAGGACGAGGGATTAAATATATTAATAAAGGCGCTGATTGACTAACACATACACAGATAAGTGGCGTAGGGATTCTGATATAGAAACCTCCTTTATATGTTTCCTGTCACCAAGAAGGGATTCTCAGGCTCTTAAGGCATGAGGATGTTTTCATAGAGTTTTTGATACCCTGCTGTATACAGTGACTTGAAAACTGGCATTCAGTATGTAATTGTTGAATTGATCCTATGTTGGATTGCTCTGGGAAGAAAAAAATACACAGTTGTATTTATGAAATGCATGAAGTTTGTATACCATAAATAAAAGGTTTCTGGGGAAAAATCACTTAAAAATAAAAAATAAAGGTCAAGAGAGGAAAAATCACCAATAAATGCATAAAATAGGAAAAAAAGAAAAAAATAGAAAAGGAAGAAATATTCAACAGAAGCTGCTTCAGACATTGGCTTAGCATAACTACAAATTAATTTGAATGTCCAGGGATTCATTTTATACATTGGTTTATTTATTATTGAAAACAAGAATTCTAGTCAAATAACCATGAAACAGAAATGCTAGTATGAACACTGCAAAACATGTGCTGAGGCTCACAGTGACAGAAGCAACATTCATAATGTCAAAGATGCCAAGATTGATTGATTTGCTTCCTGGACAGATAAGTACTGCCCTCCATTTACAGTCAGGCAGAAGCTATTATATTCTGTATTTTTCCAATTCTAATTTTCTTCATCTCTAACACAACCTTTCTGCAATGCTAATGTACAAGACCATTATTTATCTATTTTTTACAAAAAGCTGTTTAACAAAATTTGAGTTGGTTATGTGGATCACTAAGAGCTTAGTCTAAAGGAAAGAGGGTTATGTGTCATTGAAGCATTATCTTATTTGACCTAACTATTTTTTCTTTATAAGAAGCAAATATAAGTATAGTTCAATAGTCTGAGTAGGTAAATAATTTAACTTAATTGTTAAAGGTATTTCTGAATAATCATTTTTGTAGTTAGATTATATAAATGTAAGATATCCAAAGTAATTCTAAGATTACTCTACAAAGAACTCTGCTTCAATAAAAGCATTTATTAAATTCATTATTTTTCAATTTAACAGCTTTATTAATGAGACAAAGATACAGACATGTTTATTTCAAGAAAATGAATATAGGCATTTAAAACTAAACAAAATAATTATTGCTATAGATTTTCTGGAAACTATATTCAATGGTGAATTTAAAAAGAGAAATCACATAATTCATTAATATTTGTATTTTATCCCCTCTTACCACTTCTTAAATGGCTGAAGATGAATCAGGATTTTTTTCTATTCCCTGCTGTCTGTTCAATTACTTCTTGAATTCTTAATTAAAGAATAGTTGATTAATGACACATAAGCAATTTATATTTCAAAAAATGTCAAAACACATCATTACAAAAAGATGGTTTTCTAAGTTTAATTATGGATGCTTACTTTTTACTTTAGCCTTGGAATCTATCCTGTTAAAATAGTTTCTACTTCTTTAGAAAATACATCATAATTGTCTGAAGTGAAGGCACCATCCCCAACTGAGTCTTAAAAGTATGAATAATAACCACATGCACATTGTGGTTATTATGTATCTACTCACTCTTCTGTTTGCAGTGAATCTTGGCTCTGCTGAAAATACTACATCCTTCAGAGCCAGATCAAAAAGATGTTGTTGTTTGCTTGGTTTTTTCTTCACATATTTTTAATATCATAGATATTAAAGGGTCCTTGCATTACACATTCAGAACTTTCTCCTGTGTTGCTGCTTTGATTTTTAGGTTACCTGACTGCACTAGATGATATCGCTCTCTGCTACGGTCACTTTCCTACAATCTGGTCACCATCTTTGCCCTGCCAACAGCCATGGCCTATGGATTCCCTGAATATTCATGTGCCTTGGATCTATACTCACTTTTGGGCCAAGTGATAGTCTTAGTTTTTCCTTTGATGGAGCTCCATCCAACACCCTGCAGAGGCCCCCATTTTCTACTGGCAGTTGTTATCTTTTGTCTTTTCAACAATAGATAATCTAGGTGCAGTGAGATGACATCTTGCCTTTGATTTGCATTTCCTTCATGTTTAATGTGAAGTACTTTTTTGCATAACTGACACTTATATGTCTTTCTTTGAGAAATATATCTATACATACATATGTAATAGATAGATAAATATAAAATTGAGTTCATAATATATTCTGGTTATTAGCCCCATGTATTACCTTTAAATACCATAACTTAGTTGTTTAACTGATTTTATATTCATTCTTTTTATTTATTTCTTGGGAAAAATATCATTTACTTATTTCTACATAGTTTGATGTGGCTAGAGAAGTACACTCAATAAGGCAGTCTGGACTCACTTTATGATCATTTTTGTCAGGTGGACCATGGCAAGTCATAGATACAGTCCTGTATTTCCTTGGTCCTTATTTCTGGTTTCTTATGCAGATATTTCATCACTTTGCCTGTATTCTTCAGACCACCATGGCTACTCAAAGTTATCACATATGAGGATTTTGCCAACTTTTACATGGATGAAAGAAAAATACCAGTATGACTATTTCCAAAAGGTTCTAATATCACATCTATCCAATGAGCTGAATCTGTACATTATATTGTCCATTATCTTGTTTCTCTAGCTAAAATATCTTGGCTACAATGTACAACATCAACACTCATCTTCACATGGGCTTTCTCATTTTTTTAAGAACATCATACTAACAACTATCTCTTCTTCTATTCTCAAGGCAAGATAGCCAATGGAATGTAGGAAATGCTGTCAATGTTCACAATCTGGATCAGACAAGTAGGTTGTAATCCAGGAAGCAAATAACCAATTAATGAGCATGAGTTTCACTGGTCCAACCAGTTCTCCTGCTACATGAACTCAGCAGAATTAGCTTAATCTTAGACTGGTGAACAATTTGTAGTACTTTGCAATTTCCCTGTTAGGTGCTTGGGGCATGTTTAAATTGATGATATCGTGCATGATATAGAGATTTAAGGCCAACATAGAAGAGATTTGAATATTAACCAAAGAGACTGAAGCCAGAGGCATGGCTATCATTGCCTTATTCATCAAAAAGATAAAATTGTACTTTGTTTCTTTCTCATGAAGACTCCAGCTGTTGTGGCTGTAAGTAAAATATCCATACTTTTTCTCTAAAAGTATACTTTCTTCTAATACAGAACATAATTACTGCTTTTGGTGACAACCGTCAGCCCAATCCCAGGTCATTTATGGTTATTCATCTTTGGAGAATCTATCGTTTCTTAATTTTCATAGGTTCCACCATTATCTCAATTAAATTGCTATTATATCAGCAACAACTACAAGGATTATTTATTATTGGCTATTAGGGAGAGACACTAGAATTATATGAGTTAATGACCTTTTTTTTTTTTCTTTTGGAAAGTCAAAGCTGATAGTTTGATTCCAAGCCTAAAGTTAACATCCTTACTTGGAAATTTAAAACTCAGAATCATTGAAAAAAATTATTCTGGGGAGATAGATAATTACATCAAGATGTTTATATCCTACCTGCTTTGGGCTGTCTGCCCTATTCCAATGTAGAAAGTAAGGTTGAGAAGAATGAAACAAATAAGCAAAGACAAGCCAAATAATCCACCTCCTGTTTCCCCACAAGACCTACATTTGAAGTTTTATTCCTGAGGCCCTAAATGTAATTTCATAAAACATAACTATTAATAAATTTTCTTTTTCTTCTTAACTTTTCGTTAGGCTTCTTTCAACCAAAATATATCTAATTAAGGGAAAATTTATGGTGTATCAATAAAGCATATGGTATACTAAGCTGTAGATACAGACAGGGGCATAAAATTGTGTCTAAGCAAAAGAATTTGATCAAATTTGTCATTATATTGTCTATGGATAAGAAATATTGGATTATTTAAATCAGAGAAATGGGTACTTTCTGTTTCTGTGGCAGTGAATAAGCAATGCCTGTTAAAGTTCTTATCTTGGACTCAGTACAGAAGACAGAGAAAGGAAATTTATGAAACATCTGAATTAGAAAACAATGCATACCTGTGCCTAGCCACACTATCTCACAGTCAGATGATGATCCTTTGAAAAAAACCTGAAAGTGGCTGATGCTTTGGCATAGGAGGTAAAGCTGCCACCTGCAGTGCTGGCACCCAGTATGGGCACCAGTTCTAGTCCAGGCTGCCCAGCTTCCAATCCGGCTCTCTGCTATGGACTGGGAAAGCAGTGGAAGATGGCCCAAGTCCTTCGGCCCCTGAACCCACCCGGAAGAAGCTCCTGACTCCTAGCTTCAGATTGGCTCAGCCCTAGCCATTATGGCCCTCTGAGGAGTCAATGAGTGGATGGAAGACCTTTCTCCTTTCTCTCTCTCTTTGCCTCTGCCTCTCTGTAATTGTCTTTCAAATAAATAAATAAATCTTTAAAAAAAAACACCTGAAAATTTTTACCATTTTAAAGATAATAAATGATTTTTTGCATTTTTTTATTATTTATTTGACACATAAGTTAGACAGTGAGAGAGAGAGACAGAGAAATGTCTTCCCTCCGTTGATTCACCTCCCCAAATAGCCGCTACTGCTAGAGCTATGCCGAACAGAAGCCAGGAGCTTCTTCCAGGTCTCCCATGCGGATGCAGGCGCCCAAGCAATTGGGCCATCCTCCACTGTCTTCCCGGGCCACAGCAGAGAGCTGGACTGGAAGAGGAGAAACCTGGACCAGAACCTGGCGCTCATATGGGATGCTGGCACCGCAGGCAGAGGATTAACCAAGTGAGCCATGGCACCGGCCCCCGATTTTTTGTATTTTTAAGAATGAATCTCTCAAGCTCTGGAGCAGGTAACCACAGCATGCAAAGATCAGTCTTCCTGTGTGGATCTGGAGCCCAGAGATCAATTGAAGTTTGCAAACTATGCTTTTGGAAGCTTCTGCCGCTTTCCCTGAAAATGAGGTTGATATATATTTTGTTGATCACACCATTGTGAGAAAAGTCTCTGAGAGGAGAGAAACCAAACGTGCAATACAGGAAAGGAAATTATAGCAGAGAAGAAAGAGAAACATGATTATTGTGTGGTGGACTGCTTGCTCATAAATAATATGCATGTAGTCAGCATACTATAACTATTAATTTAACCACTGCTTATTATATAGTTATAAAACAACACGAAAGTTTAGGAAATTGGATTGGAGGTAGTTTAAATTTTATTTTATTTACTTGTTTTTAAAGATTTGTTTTATTTTTTATTTGAAATTCAGAGTTATAGAGAGAGAGGGAGAGACACGAGGGGAGAGAGAGAGAGAGAGAGCGAGCTTCCATCTGCTGGTTCACTCCTCATATGGGCACAACAGGTGGGGCTGGGCCAAGCCAAAGCCAGGAGCCAGGAGCTTTTTCTAGTCTCCTACGTGGGTAGTAGGGGCCCAAACAATTGGGACATCCTCCACTGCTTTTTCCAGGCCATTAGCAGGGAGCTGGATTGGAAGTGGAGGAGCCGGGACAGAAACTGGCACCCATATGGGATGCCAACATTGCAGGCAGCTGTTTTACCTACTACAACACAATGCTGACCATGGTATTTTAAATTTTAGTTTTTTTTTAAGACTATTTTAACTTGAACACACACACACATACACAAGAATGTTTTCTCTTTCTAAATATAAACATATCAATAACGTGATTCCATTCTTTTTTGTTTTCTGGAGGTAACATTTTTGTTTATCTGTTTGGATAAATTTGTATTTCATTATCATGAAGTCACTTTCAAATATTCAAATGCAAATATAAAATTAATAGGTTTTTTAATCCGAAATTCAGACAGACCATAAATCTTTAAGGTGCTGTTCATTCTATTTGGACTTCTTTTTCTTGATATCTCTATTCTTGGAGTTTTTCATTATCCTGTTCCAGACTGACCTGACTCAAC